CAGCAAGATTTCAAGCTGCATGCATGAGTTCTATGGCACAATCTCCATTTACCACAGACCAGAGAAAAAAAATCTGCAGATGTTGCCTCTTAAGATATTATATCAAGATTTTCTTAAACAAAAAAAAAACGGATTTTATACCAAGATGCCAAGGGAAAAGAATGCCTGGCAAAATGAACAGACAAAACCAGAATATCATATTTACAAACATACTGCAAAAACATAATACTGGCTCAGAACAACACTAATAAATCTCCAGCTTACCTGGTGTTCAAAGTTCTTTGAACCCATGGCATCATTAGAAGTTCTTTTCTCAACCTTTAAAGAAGAACGACGCTTAACCCGAAAAATTTCTGAATCAGAACCATCACTATCTTGCTCCACAATAGGCTTAACATGTGCTACAAAAAGATTTCCCGGATGGGAATTTACACATTCATCACGAGACATAGAGGACAGAGAAGATTTACAACTGCTACGTGCTACTTCTTCAGATAGCTTAGAATCAGAATTTCCTAAGTTAGCTTGCCCCTGTACCTGCTTAGGATGGTAGCAAAATGCAAATTACACACCAATTAGTTCCAATTTAGATATAGTTTTCAGAAATGCATGGCAAGCTCATTTAACAACATAAAACATTAAAATAACAACAGAAAGGTGCAAACAAAATCAGCAAAGAGGGATATAAGCATACATTACTGGGCACGAATAAGCTATCAAATTGATCTACACCAGAACAAAGACTTGATGCAGCAGCAGTAACGTCAGTCAATGCAGATCTTATATTTCTAGTATCGTACGCCAACTGTTGTCTATGTTGCGACTGAAAATGAGTTTTCACACTAATCCTAGGGCTCAGTTCAAAATTTATCTCGCAATAAGGATGATAGCCATCCTCCACATCACCTCCTATCACTTTTGGTAATGGATACGCGTACAGGTCATCATCAGTGTTAGATTGCTGCTGAATTTCATATAATACCCTCTCTTCCTTCTCAAACTTCTTAGCTGCAGCTTCCATTACTGATATGTCTTCCCTCAAAAATAGTGTGTGACTGCTCCCACATGAGAAATCAAGTGACTCAACATCTGTGCAGGGGAACTTATGATCAAGATAAACAGAGGAAACAAAATTTTTAAAAAGAAAAAATACATATATGTATGATAGGTCTCTAAAACACGATATTGAGACAAAATTACCATGGCGAAGGCACACAGGATGCGAGGAACAATTGCAATTAATGAAGGCCACATAACAGTCGCGTTTGCATAAGCTGCAAAGGATGGTTCCATAGGTATTTGGAAAAACACTGGAGCATGCCATTGATTTCATCATGTACCAGCGAGCACGATGAAGGAAACGCATAAGTTTCACAAAAGAAATCTTGATGCAATGGTGAGGTGCCAAGTCCAAAGATGAATAATCCAAATCTTCAAGTTCTAAGCTTGTATGGAGAAGCATTGCTTCTTTGCACAGAAGCTCTTCATGAGGAAGCAGAGGCGTCCTGTTGAGGTGTGCATATCGCCAGCTGGCAATAGCTCCCAAAGGAAACCAATCACCAATAGCAAAGTTCACAGCCTCACCGCAGTTGAAACCTATATGATTACAAGAGAAACAGAAAGATTTAATAAAATAGCCAAAAAACACTTCCTTCATCCTGCATATGTTTCAAAGATGTCTCACCATGGCTAAATCCAGCATGGTATGCTCTAGGGAAGGTAATTATAAACTCCCCAGGCTTCTGCACAGCTTTGTAGACAGGGACATCATGCTCTAACAAAATATTTGGAGGAAATAAAGTAGTTTTCCCTAAAAGTACATCGAAGGCTCCATCCTCTCCATCTGCTGAAAGAATGTCATTGGTATATACATGTTCCCGAACAACCTTTTCAAATTTCAGAGCTGCATGACCTGGAATGCCATACCAAGTCTTTGATGCCCCACAGTGATGATAATTAATACTGTTATTGGAACGAAAGGAAACAAATGATCACTGAAAATGATATAGAAATGTTTGGGAGACATATAGAAAGGCATCATATGTCAGATGTGCTTAAACTGAAACATATACAACATAACTTGTTACCTGTACAAGTAATGGTCTTCCACGTGCCAAGCAAACATGCTAAATAGCATTCCAATGTAAAGCATTGGTTCAGTACTCCCTGAAAGAGATCAAAATTAATGTGAATCATGGCCATATATGGAAATTAGAGACTAATCAGACATATACTGCACATTCCAATGAAACGTCAATATATCAGTACCGGAATTGCTGTTTCAAGAAGACGCAAAACAGACTTGGACACCCGTGAAAGTCTCTGAAATGGACAGAACATGTAAAAATCAGAATCAAGAAACATCAATAAATCACAGCAGTTAATAAAATTATATGAGAAGAAGAAAAACATAAGAAATTCTATTCAAAAAAATCAAAGGAGAAAATTACTGAAGATTGAGAAGAAGAAAGAACAGATAAATTAGTTCGCTAATTTAAAATTTTCCATATAACACAAAGAATATCATCACTTCAGCAGGAAGATTTTAGTATTTCCCATAAAAGTCTAGTTTCATAAGGCATTAGTTTCATGTCTCTCCTCCGATCTCAACTTCTTTTTCCTCAAGGACAACCTCATCATAATTCCCGATATAGCAATGATCACCATGCCTATTGTGATGTAAGACTTTGAACAATTTTCGAAGGGCATGTATGCCCATTCTCACTATGTTAATATTATTTTCAATTGCAACCATATAAAACGTTCTTTGGTTTAAACCATCCCCCACTAATTTTGGCATGGTATCAAATCAAGATACATGATATTTTTGGTTCAGCTGTAGATAAAAGCTTTTACCTTGCAGTAAGCAAGAAGCAACTGAACCCTCAGTGTTTTCTTCCAGTAATATGACATATAAAGTTTCCATTAAGCAGCTACTTTGTATCCTAAGATGCGGAATGCTTCATGAAATAGAACCTTTTGGGGCAACAGTCTCATGTTAATTCTAATGAGCATCTAAATCTTAACATAAATGTTGAAAAACATGCCTCTAAAGAGTAACAACAGAAGGTAACAATAACAAGTCGAGTGTCCCGCCATTCATAGTCAATAATGAACTTACAGAAATGGGGAAAGAGCTCTAGGAATCATATACATGCACACAGGTGATTCTATTTCACTATATTGTTCCCCATGCCTAACTTAATGAAAAATGTCTCAGTAAAAAAGACTTGAAGATTTAAGAAAAAAAATAGAAATAGTAGTGAAATAAACACCTTTAAATTCCACTTGCTATTTCCAAGTGGGTCACTGGGTGAAGATGAGAAGGCACTGCCATCAACATCGCATGCGTATTCAACAGTCTCTGTCTTGCCACATTCAATTTCATGCCAAAATTCTTTTTCCAAGTACGAGGCAGGAAGACAACCAGCACTACAATATCTACGAGCAAAAATCTTGTTCGCCATTTTCTCAAAATCACGGAAGGAATAGTTTCTGAAAAGTTACATGTACTCAAAAGCCAGAATAAATACCCAAGCTATATAAGTTAAATTAACGTTAAGAAACTAACCTTCCGCTCATGAAAAATGTCACTTTATCATCACTATCCCACTCTGCAAGACGAAGAGGTTGTATCCTCGTTGTGAACTTGAATCCTGCTTTCTCCTTCATCAATACTACTCCAGCAGGAACTGTTGCACTCAAAGGGGAAATAATCTTGCAAATTCCTGAAAATTTAAGCATTGATGCATAAAATAAGTTGGTCATTGAAACAATATGATTAAAGGATTAAAGGAAACATAGTAACTTTTACAGATTAATCTTCATAAATTAATCTAAATAACTGGAAGTGCTTTTAGGACAGAAAGAAGAAACCAACACTTAAAGTACTAAACGAAAGAAATACAATACATTATACAATTTTTTATATACTAATGGAATTATTTTGACCTTAGTGGCTTCCATTTGTCAAGGATTTGTGTTAATAATGCAAATGACTTTTGCATCATTAATGAATTATTCACAAGTGAGTTTCATTACAAAATTGAAAGACGCTATTTTATGGTAACATAAAAGATATTATTAATAAAACTAGACAACTATCAGATATTACTGCTTCTGAAGTTCTAGAAAATAAATTGTGGTGACCTTGTTTTGACTTATAATTATTATCAAACTGCCAGCAAAAACCATTAGGTATTCCTCCAACCATTACAAGTAATTCCACTACTCAAGATAAAACGTTGATATTATATGGGTTGTGAAAAATTCACCATCACGTTTATATTCATTCATGTACCAAGTTGATCCAATCTAAAGGTGAATTAATCAACCAAATCTTGATTGTCAATTAAAATTTTAATGTAAGGGTCATTGACATTCACTGCAAAAGATGGATTCAAGTATCATTACTTCAAATTTGAGAACTAGTAAACTTAATGCTCTCTCAAAGGGATGGTTATCTACTGAGCATATGGCAAACAGCATATATATCCTGATAACCAGAATTACTGACTTATCTAGCTAAAAATCCAGTGGAGACAACTGTACCATTCTCCTAGCACTGAAATTCTCCTTGACTATTCAGCACAGATGACCGAGAAAATTTTTTTAGCAATTTAAACTACCTATAATTCTTTCTTTTGTCAGCTGAAATTCATATTAATAAGAAGGAAACTTGATCTAAAACACACCCTCTGCCATGCATACTTCCAATAGCCATCTGAGATAGTCAGCACTCTCTTCACACAATCTTCAGCAATAATCATGTCAACTTGTATAAGTCATACCAAGCCACCACTAACAAAGCAAACTAACTGACCCGAGCTACTCATGTTTCCCTTAAACAACTATTTTGCAAATTCAAATTACGTAGTTTCAGAACTTCATGTTGGTTCAACTCTCCCAAAAAAGATCACCAGCTATATTCACCAGCTACAAGCTATTAACACCCTTCCCTGCTACAACTGAATGTTGATATTGCTATACATCTCAGGATAGTTTCTACCACGTGAACTTCAGCCTAGTTTGGTGAAGGGCAAGTAGAAGTCCAGAACTTATTCAAACAGCCAAATAAACGAGCTTTCATGCTAGAACATAATGCACAAACAATAAATACTACCATTAAGATGAAACAGCAGTTGGAGCTTCTTAATTTCGGAGATGGCTATTTATCTCCCCCTTGTGGATTTAACATCAGCTACCCAGAAAAGGTTATTCAATCTCAAAAATTACCAAATAAAAACACTGTGGTTAATCAAACCCGCACTCACTCCAGTGCATTGCACAGACAAGAAAACATTTGGATGGGACAAGAGAAGATTTCTCGTTGCTGTTTCTTTTGTCAGCTTTCCATCTGGTCCTAGGTTTAGGTTTCCCCATTTCTTTGTCGGAAACTAAAGAGATAAAAAGAGTAAGTAAGATTGATGCAAGTAATTTCATTGCGCAGGTGTTACAGGTGTTACCATATCTTGAAGCTTCTGGAGCTATCTTCTGCAGATAAGCAAAAGGATCTTCAAACTCTTCTTTGCTGGGGCAATATATAGGACACTCAGGAATTTTCTCAGTCCATTCTAGATCACTTGTATCAAACTTCTCCACCTTGCGCTTCAAAAAAGCATCCTTTCCACAGGAAGCACCATTCAACTGTGAAAGTGAATCCACATTCCCATGTAATCTCATGCCACATGCTGAAGCTCTTAAAGCATCTCCTCCACTTCTTGTCATCATGTTGGTGATACCTACAGTCTCAGGGATAGTTCCTGATTTCATTCGTCGAAGCCTTTTACGCTTCAGAAATTCTAACCCATTTTTAACCTCTTTAGACAAACAGACCCTCCCTTCCACCTATCAAAGGAGAATCATGCAAATAAAATCAACATAACACAAATAGAGGACCAAAACTTGAGGAATTTGAAACAGATAACTATAAGTTAAATTCAACTTTTGTGTCACACAGTTAAATATCAATAAGTATTTGCAAGCAAATTTACCCGTTTAATCTACAAAGGTCCATGGACTAACTAACAACAATAAGTTCATTCTTTTACTAAGTTTTCGAGATACAAGAAAATTATAGCACCTAATTTCCACAATAACAATGTTAATTGAAAGTTCTAGCCTTATCCAATACTTCAAATTAACGACATGTTTGGTTCGCTGATGAAATATAACTGGAATGTAATAATTATCTATAAAGAACTAAATAATGTTGCCATAGAATTGCAATTACATTACAATGTTTGGTTGGCAACAACTTATTACCACCTCATTACAATATTTGACTTGATAATATTAGGTTGTAAACAACTGTAATAAGTTATTCTAAAAATTATACTTATGACATTTAATTGTTTACTTCAAATTATTTTAATTTCACAAAATTATAAAATTTCATATAAATTATTCTAAAAACCTCTAATCTCTTAACTATTGGAATTATTTTATACTTTTTTCTTAGACTCAATCATTAAAAATTAAACAATTTTTAAAACATCAAACCCTATGATAATTATAAATGTTAAAATATATTCAAATTGAAAAAAGATTAAAAAAAAGAATCAATTAATGGGTTAAAATTCATGTTAGTGAGCACCAATACAATAGTCTTGAAAGTACAATTTGTTACTACAAGAGAGGTTATAATTCTGATTCATGATGTCAAGTCGCATATCAAGATTACAACTTCTCAAGCAACTAAACTTGCAAAATAATCCAAATTCAGACGGGCCAAAAGAAAAACTAATAGCTATTGCGTCCCTGACATATTTCTACCATATATAATGAACTGAACCAAAAGAAAAATCTCATCATGCCATCCACGGACTTCTAAATAAATTGGAAAAATAACATTCCATCAACACTAGTGATTATGCACAATTTTTATAAAAAAATTAAAAGCCTAAAACCAATACTAAAAATAATAAATAAAAAACAGGGTTGAAACAAAAGTACCTTTTTCTAAAATTTTCAGCAGAATTAATACTTGTTTACAGCATCTATATTATATTACTAGCCGTAAATACATATATTTTATACGCGTAAATGTCAATTCTGCTTTCAAAGATGTCCGCCCAAAGTTTTGACCAAATCGCTATCGAAAAAATAAAAAGAGAATTACGGCTCCCATGTTAAATTGCGAGTCAATAATCGTCAATAATCTCCACTACGAAGGGAAATTGACCAATTCAGAATGATAATCGAGCGTTTGTCCGAAACAGAAAAGAAACTCAAATACTCAATCTTATCCAGAAAAAAATTTTTGAACAAGGTCAAAAAAATTGCCAAACTAGAATGTTAAAAACACAGACCACAGCTTTCCGCACCAAATTTTACCGCTATACGCAAACCGAAAGTAAAACAAAAAAATTCTAAAATAGAAAAAAAAAATTAAAATAATTTCCAAAATTTACCGCGTAAAGGAAACTAAAATCATCCCCCGGAAAGTGCACCTAAACCATCTAGTATCATGAAGATTTCTCGTTGGTGAAGAGAGTTTCTAACATGGGCATCTAAAGCAGTTTTCTAATCGACAAGTAACCAAATGTCAAAAAAAGAACTGACAATAAATTGACAGACCAAAAAGGATGAAACAGATGCGAAATCAGAACAATGTCTAAGATCTGAACAAAAAATGAAGAAATCAAATTCATAAAATACGCAGGTAAACGAGATGTCGAAACAAAAATAAAATACAAAAAAGTAAGAGCTAAAAATGGAAAAATAGAAGAAAGGAATCACCATACCATCTCATTCCGCAATCCTTCTCTATACGCCTCCGTTTTTGTCTCGAACTTATCGAAATAGGAAGAATCCAAAATAAGAAGAACCGCCAAACCGAAGCAAAATCTAAAAACCAAACCCTAGATCACGATCTTCAGCATTGACAATCAAACCAAAGCTTCGAACACGAACTGGACCCGCCACATTCTCGCGGAAAGCCACGTAACGAGTCAGACTCAGAGATCCGAGTTCCTCTCCGAAAAAGTCATAGAGGATATGACAAGGTAAGCGGAGGTTATGAATGAACAGGACCAGATGAGCAGTTTTCCGGCGGAAAACGGAGGCTGTTACCGGGAGAAGTTAACCGGCGGGGGGAGGAGGAGGAGAGAGAAAAAGGAAACAGTAAAAGAAAAAATAGGAAGGAAGGGGGAAGAGAGAGAGCAGGTTAGGAAACCGAAAAAGAGCTAAAAAAAAAGGATGATATATAGTTTTATACTCAAAAATATTAATGCTTTAGTGCCTTTTTGTAATTATTTAAAAAACGGTTTTTTATTTTTTATTTTTAACAGAAGAGAAAAAAAGGAATTTGTTAACGAAAGTGGTGGTTGTTAGGTGGTTCAACCAAACGACTTGCCGGCCAAAACGCGTTTCGCACGTCTCGCGTTTTAGAAGCTCCCCCCTCCCCGGCTTTCATTGTTTTTTTCTGCGAAATAACCTTTCAAAAAAGCGTCTGATTTCCATAATTAGAAGAGGGTATTTAGGTAAATTTAGTGGACAGTGCTGTCAAAATAGGAAAGTGACCAAATATAGAAACTATGGACTGTATAAATCTGATATGGTGTTCATTATGCGTACAGCAATAAAATCAATCACGGTCTGGAGTGATCAAAAAGTGGGATCTTAACTGAATGCACATTTCTTTTAAAGCTCTCGGGCCTTAACACCCACATCAATTTTAACTACCCTCTTGCTAATTCTGCCGCTTTTCAACGTTAATTGTCGTACGTTTGTTGAAGTCGAGAAGTATGACCAGAAGTGACTCAAGAGGCAAGGGAACACCCTGAACTCTTAAGATGCCAAGTGTTTTTTGTTTTTACTGATAATAGGAACTTTATTTAAGTTTACTTAAAAAAACTTATTGTTTTGATGTAGGGTAAATAATGTATTTAGTTTTAGCTTTCCGTTGATTTTTTTTTTTTCATGTTTCCGTATATAATTTTGATATCCTTTGTTTTTTAGAATATGATTAATTAAAATATTAACTAATTCATTACTACAATAAATTTGATTGGATTTTTTTCTAGTTGTCTATCGTACTTCAACGCGACATGAATACGAAAAAGATTCGAGAATTATTTTTATTTACGTTAAAGGTTAAAATAATTTTTTTAACTTTTTGACCTCGTATTAAAGGTGAATCTCGAATATATAAAAGATTTCTTTCCAAATAATACATACCATCTTCATCAAATGTGAGTTTCTACATAATTTTATATGTATTTATGAGATAAACATATAATTCTATTTTCTCACTTTAAATTGAGTACTTATTTTCCTTTGTTTCGGCTAGAATTCAAAATGTTATATTTTACGTATCTATACAATTCGAGTCTTTAGGTTTCCAAAATAGTTCCGAAAAAAATGCCTTGAATAATTGTATATGATACGTACCTATTTCATAATTATATGCTGAAAAAAAAAAAAGATCATAGATGGGTAGAGGTAAATATAGTTGTTGAATATTTTTCATTTAACTCATGAACCAGATTTATATAGACATCAAGATTCACGCATCTTGATCATAAAAGAATCAATGAAAAAAAAAATATTAGAATTGATCAATCTTTCTCTCAAAAATAAATAAAAATAAAATAAAAAACAAAATATAAATCATCAATCGGTTAAATCCTCTCGACCAATTATTAAAAATAAGAGAATAATTCTCATATAAAGATCATGAATTGATATTTGATATTATTTATAGAAATTTAGTAAATATTCTATTCTATAAATAAAATATTTGAATAATTAAATTTTTAGAGTAGATACAATTAATAATCTATGATCTGAAATGTACAGAATAAAAATCTCATTTTTATTTCTATAAGAATTTTAATAAAAATCTTTCATTTTCTGTTCTTCTATGGAAGTTTTATTTTTACATCATCTGTCGTACATCATTCAAGAATATACTTCAGTACAAGTCACGAATAAGAATTGTGTAGAGGGATATATTGATATAACATAAATATCTACCAAAATACCCCATATAACCCAGTTGATAAAATACGTTATATAGTTTATTTTAAGAATTAATGACTTACTCATTTATTAAGTTTGAAAATAGGCATTCCCCAAAAAAAATAAAAAAAATAAAAGAACAATACTATTGAAATGGGTGGATTCAATAATACGTCTTATGGAATTTTAACACTTATTATATTGATAAATCGTTATGTAATATGTATATGTAGCAAGTTGATTAGGTGGTGGTAATAGAAGCTTTAATGTGTTAGTAATGGTCAGTAGCGATGGTGCCGGAGCAGTCGCTGAAAGTTGTAGGGAAATGTCATGTCTATCTATATAATTAAGTAACCTAATTTTGGCTTTTTACTTACAAGAAATCTTATGAGAAGACATTAAGAAAATAAAAAATAATAATTATTAAAATAACTTGGAGTTATTGATTTTATATACTATTATTTCTGTTTTGAGCCATTCGGTGGATTGTTGATTTCATTTTTTGTATTCTTCTTATTTTTACATGGAGGTTGGTCTAATTAGCCTTCCAAACTTTTTTTATAAAAAAAAAAAAAGAAAGAAAAAATCATCAGTTTATAGCCATATTTGAACATTGGTTCAAGTAACACTGAATTAATTTTTGAAAATAGTCTTTGACTAATATATTAAAATTAGCTGTAATATCCTTAATTGATTTTAATATAATTAAAATTAATGTATAAATATAATTTTTAATTTTTATTTAATGTAAAACTAAAGAAAAATAGGTGAATGATGAAATTGAAAATAATTTTATAAGAAATGGGTGAAAATTTGGGTTCTGATGGTGTTTTTGAAAGAAAAAATCGAAAACTAAGAGTCAAAATGCAATTTAAAAAAATTATGTCACGTAAGATGCCCAGTTAGCAGCTCCGACGAACTGGAACACGTAGCGTGGCAAGGCACACTGACGCAGTGTCACGCGGGAAGTCATGCTAGCGATCCACATGCCCGCAATCGGACAGTCCGAATTTGTTCCCGCGTGCACGGACAGTCTGGATCCGTTCTCTCTTTAAGCGCGATCGGACAATTCAGATCAAATCGCGATAAACAGTTCAGATTCACTTCCTATTTAAACACGATCGGATAGTTCAGATCAAATGCAAAGTACGGCCTAAATTAAAAGGAGATGGATATAAATAACCCTCTTCACGCCAAACCTTAACCCTAGCAGCCAGACCCCCCACCAGAAAAGAAGAGCCAGCCGCCAGGAAGGGAGTCGACCGCCACCCACCACAGCGCCAGAGCCACTTCCGACCACCAAAAGAGGTACAATTTTTCCATTAGCTCGAAATTTAATTTTCAACACCCCCATGGCCAAATCGGAGTAAAAGGACCGGCAGATCCGCTGACGAAGCCTGACGGTACCACCGTAAGAAAAAGCAAAAAATCGCCACTGATGAGGCCTTTCCCGATTTCCATTTCATGTAATTTTTTTACCATTGTAATTACCATTCCTTTTTCTACAGGTTGATCGAAACAAAACACCCAACCGTGAAGGTGAGCCAGCTGGACCGCCAAACCGAAAAACTTTGTCACCGGTAAGCTTCGGTTTTTAAATATTTTTGTCAACTGAAGCCCTTTAATGTATTTTATCGCAGGGATTGGTACAAAATCGACTGAAAAAGCCAACCCTAGGCAAATTGCCGCCGTGCCGGAATTTTAAAATTGTCCAAAAAGGTTTTCTAACATTGATTTTGGGCTTTTTGGGGTATTTCTAGGTACTTGAAGCATGTTTTAAACCCTAAAGGAAAATTCAGATAACCCGGGGACTGCCAGTAGGTGCAGGTGAAAGTTTAGCATTATAGACATCAATTCGAGTAAGAATCACTCACCTTATTCCCTTTTATGGAATTAAATTTTAATTAATAATAATACGGTATTTTGTGTAGTTTAAAAAATATCTATAATTAATTACAAATCACTAATGAAGTCAGAACCGGTTATTTATTACTGTTTGTCGTGTTTAGCTAATTGGTTGATTTTACAGTTTCAAATGTATGATAATACACTAGAATTGGTATGATGATGCGATTGTGTTTTCTTGATGCATGTATTGCTTGTTTTATGTAATTACAGTTAAATTTAGAAACTGAAAATTAAAGATAAACGAAAAATTGTTTGATTGAATAAATGGATGAATGGTAGCCTTACTGGATATCCTGAGAGATGGTAGATGGACCGGGTACATAGGGAACCCAACCGTGAACATCGTCTCATACCGGACGAGGTATCGAGGATTAGTATTTTGGCGCTCATACCGGACGAGATATGGAAACGGCCCATTTCACCCTCATGCCCGACGAGGTATTGAGGGATGGTATTTTGGCGTTCATACCAGACAAAGTATGGGAACGACCCGTTAATTGAAAATGTTAAAAAAATAAAATGGTTCACGCATAATGGGGACATTCCAATGGACCCCAATAGATACTAGTAGGCTAATAAAAGAGAAAGTTGTTATTGTCAACTGATTGCATATGAGATTATGATATTGTTTATGTTACTGACCCTATAGATTGGTTTTAGAAATCTTGCTACGGTAAGTATGCGGGAAATGATTTTATTTATGATAAATGAATTTACTTAAATTAAGAGTTTCATTAGTTGTTTTCATGATTTTTACCAACCTTCATTTCTGTGTCGGTGAGTAGCGTGATATTCTTACTGGGTTAGTGTAGCTTACTCTTTCATTAACTATTTCAGATCAAGAGAATCAAGATCTATAGCTCGATCCACAAGAGGGTTGCGAGTAGGATGTCCAGTTATTTATTTTCTATTTATTTTTTTAATTTTCGTTATTTCTTTTAAAATAGTCATTCTCGTAGCCCTATTGGGTATCCCAAATTATTGTGTAAGGAGTGTAAACTCTAACTATTTATTTCATTTCCGCATTCTATTCATAATTAATTTACCTTCAAGTTCCGGGTCGTTACATTAACTATTAATCATTCGACTTTCAATTTGTCTCCACTATCCTTTTTTGTTCTCTCATATGATTTTCTTTAGATGAAATAAGAATTGAGAGAACTTTTTACCAAACTTCGGCCATGAAATGAAATGCACCAATATCATCTTAAAGACAAAATGCAAAGTTGTGTTATGGCACCTCAAGAGCACATAAATTTTAGATAATCTTTTGATATTTTATATAATAAAAAAAAAGATAAATATTTTTATTGAGAAC